GGCCTACTAACTTATTCATTATTTCGTTCAAAGTTTTCAGTTGTTTGGACATGTTGTCATAATGTGCATTCCCATTCTGGGTAAATCTTTCCATATTATGAATATTTTGTAGATTTACCTGTTCAACGACATCTTGTGTGAGTTCTCCGAGTAATGCACGCATGGTTCGAGGACTTAACTCTGTCATTGGTTCGTAACGACTATAATTGCTATGATCCTATCTATCTGTTCGTGGAGAGCTATGCTACTCCTCATATCGCTCGATTACAGACTGGACTCCTCCCTGGCTTGCTGCTTCCTTATCGAATTTCTGAGACATATTGTTTCACCTTTTGTATCTTCAACACCAAATACCAAGGTCCCACTGGGCGTGCCAAATTGTTTTGCGCGGGTAGTCGCTAATAATTAAAAAGGGATCAGAAGATTGTGTAAGGAACAAACCTCTTTAGACAAAGTCTCAAAAAAAGGGTGTTTTATTGGCGATGACTTTACAATTGGAACTTAAACAGAATGCCTCCAAGAAGTGCAAGCACACGAGTACTGAAAGAAATGTTTAAGTCTAAACTAAGAAATTGAAATTACATATTCTCTGTTTGAGAGTGTTTGATTCGGGGTCCTTTGCTCTATGTCTTTTCTTCCTTTTATATTCCCTTGATGCTCTCTTTGTGAGCAACCACTTAGAAATTGCTTAATTGCTTTATAACTGCCCACTTTCTTGATGGTGGCCAACTTATCGTGGAACTGCCGTTTCTAAATGTTGCCACTACTCTTTGTCGTTCAACCGTCTTCAACTGAACTCCTTGAATCGTGGAACGTGATAAGATTACCCAATAACTGCTTCGATAACTGCACTTTTGGATAACCATAATAGCTTATGTTTGCTAAGATCTTGGGTGATTCGAAGGTTTGGGCGAGAACAGGGTCATAACTCTGGGCGACTGCAAGGCACTTCATTCGCTCAGATCTTGGGCGTCTTGCAAGTTTGGACGATGGTGTTACCGCGTTCGTGGGCTTCCACTGCATTCATTAATAACCCTATTTGAGCCTTTATTCTGAATTGACTAGTTGGGCTCCATTCTTTGGGCTATTCGAATTGGGCTGCACTTTTAGCGTGTCAACAAAGATATACCAGTGTGGTCCTTTATGACATGCAAAGGATGGTCGGTGATCCTATCCAATTTGCTAATTTAAATGGCACGATGGACGAGGAAGGTGAAGATTATGACAAAGAATGATAAGAGCGTTATATATGTGTAACCACGTTCATTCATTTTAATTGTTATGGGGTTTGATGTAGATATATGTTGTTGAAACGAGCCGGTACGAGATAAGTATCCTACGAAAAATGAATTTAACCGATCTATTCAACATTAAAGTTCCTCGAGATAAATTTGGACTAGGGTCATTTAAGCTACTAATTTCCTTTAATTTAAGCATGTTTGCATAAGCGTAAAAATTCTACTTATATATAATTTTTACTTTTTCTAAACTAGCCAAACATGCTCATAAAAAAACAAAAAGAAAAAGGAAAAAATGAAGGAACTCCAAGACCGATAGCATTGAGTCGACATAACATGAATTGTGTTGATTGTGCAATTGAAACCAACCAAAACCTTCTCGGCCCCTGTCTAATGGGTTGAAGCCCAATTTGCATGCTCACATTTTTATATGGGATTCAACCAAGTATAACAATTGGAAATTGGGAAATTTTCATAAATGAGAGATTAAGTAATGTATATTTCAAAATTAAGAAAACAAGTTTCAAAATTCAAAAATTAGATTTCCATTAAAATTTATTTATGATTTAATTATTTAATTAATTTAATAAATTTAGGTCACAGATCTACACAATTTGGTCACGAATTAACAATTTAATTACTAATTTAATTTTTTGGTCACGAATAAAAAATTTTATGTTACAAATTATTTTATGATCACAATTAAAAAAATTTGCATGTCACAATTTGTTCATCGGTCACAAATCAAAAAATTAATTAGTCACGGATTAATTTCTAATAACAACTTATCAATTTATTAGTCACATTTTATTTCTCGATCACAAATCAAAAACTTTATAGGTCACATAATTTTTTGGCCACGAATAAAATTTTTTATAGGTCACAGATTATTCATTGGTCAGAAAATTAAAATTTTTATAGGTCACAACTCATATATTTCTATCAAATTATTAGAATAATTGGTCACGGTTAATTTTTTGGTTACAACTTAATCAAATTGTGAGTCACAATCGCAAATTTTAGGTCACATATTATAAATTTAGTCACCGTCACGTATTCGGGCACATATTATTTACCGATTACAAATTAACAATTTACTGATCATAACATAATTGGTCACAAACACTCTTTTCACCCACTACAACTCCGCCAACCACCATCTTGCCAAACTTACCACCAACGCCAAAACCACCCAAATCCCCAACAACAAACGACCACCGCTACTCCAACAATAAAAGAAAACACCACCACCACCACTACCCATACTATAGCATTACCATCAAAACCCCATAACCTGTAACAGCACCACTTCAACCTATCGTCGCCAAAACAATCGCCACAGATCCACCGAATCGCAACCCACCACAGAACCATCATCATCACCACAACCCAATACTATACTGCAACCGCCATCAACCAACGCACCTTGCTAGATCCACCACTCTCTATTGGGAACACCACCACTATGCAGATCACCATCCAAACCCCTCTTAAACTGCCACTAATCGCCACCACACAAATACAACCACCACCATCACACAAAAACACTATCCAAACCTAAAAAATTGCCACCAACCCAAACTACCTCTCCTTCGCGCGCGCTTATGACGAGTCGTCGATCTGCTTTGTGGTATCATTATACCACCACTGCTCACGGTGATTCACAAAGGGAGATTCGCGGATCATAACTCACAGTGGATCTGTGCAGAAAGAGGAAAGGGAGAATAGCCGGCATCGTTGGAGTAGAGAGTGGTTATGGCGACATTGCTTCAATTGACTTCACTCCGATGCCGACGATCTCACTTTATTTCCCAATTGTTGATGGTCAGCGATTGAGAGGTGAGAATAGAAAGAAATGTAGAGAGAGAGAGAGAGAGAGAGAGAGAAAGAGAGTATTGAGAATTAATTAGGATTTCCGTGTAATGGAGTATATATATTTAGTAAAAATATTTATTTTAAAAAATATTAATGAAAATAAAATCTATGATTTTTGAAAGGTTAAACTACTCATCTTATTTTAGAATTGTGAATTTTTAAAGTATGAAATTGTGTAATTTCCATTTGGAAGATTGGAACTTAGAATTTCGTAGAGTTAATTGTTCCAATGGTCACTAAACTTAGATTCATGCCTTTGATTGGTCACTGAAATTTAAAATATTGAGTTTTGGTCACTGAACTTAGGTGCATGTCTTCGATTGTTCACTGAAATTTAAAATGTTGAGTTTTGGCCACTGAACATTGTAAAATGTTCTACGTTACTCACTAGTATAAATGTTGAACTTTCAAAAATGTCGAGTTTACAATGAATAATGTACAATTTTTTTCAAAGTTTAGTAGCCAAAATTCGACATTTTAAATTTCAGTGAGCAATCGAAGACATGAACCTAAATTTAATGACCAAAACTCAACATTTTAAATTTCAGTGATCAAACGAAAACATGGACCTAAGTTCTGTGATCATTGGAACAATTAATTCAATTTTGTAACAAATTTTTTCTGGTAGCAATTTATAAATACACTATTTTTTTTTCTAATTTCATACACAACTTTAAACATTTTTACTCTTAAAATATTATTTCTATTTTTTAATTTAATTTTTTACTATATAATGAAACTCAATGCGTTACATTGTATTTTATTACATTACACACTTTTATTCACTTGTTTCCACTCTTCGTTGACACGAACACCACCAAATACAACAAATTGTCTTACACACTGTCGTCCATTTTCATTGTAGCTCTTCCACTGTCACTTGTAAGATTTATTGTTACTTTGTTATCGTCATCATCACTTGTAACATTTATTGTTACACCATCGTTGCCACCACATACGTCTACCCCATTAGCATTGAGCATCAACACCACCACATTGCATACGAGTTCAAGCCTTAAAAGTTTCATCATCAACACTGACCATTGTCACCACCACAGTGGACACAAGTTCAAATCTAAAAAATTTCAACACCATTACTACAACAAAAAGAGTATACTTTCAAGGACCCAAAACTGAGTAGAATCGACGTTGTTATCATCATACAAATAGACGTAGATAAGTTGTGAGGTCCCAAGTGAAGTTTTTCTGACACCAATAGAGAGTGGTGGTGAGAGAAATGGAATTCGATGATGGAGAGTGGTGGAGCTTTGAGATGTCAGTACCTTCAATTGATAGCATTGAACACCAAAACGGATATAACTTTGTGAAATATATGATGAGCAACTCTAATAGAGGTAGTGGTGCATGGTGGTGTTGGTAACAGGTGTAGATACCATGAGAAGAATCAAATTATTGACTCCCTTTCTACTAAATACTACGAACAACATCATTATCAGGAGCATAGACAATTAGACCTTGAACCGAGCTGACTGTATAGGTCACTCACACATATGACCCATACAAGGGGATGGGTGAATTTTTATTTTTAATTTTAAAATAATTACCCACCTCAGCACTTGTCTGACCCGTACAAGGCTAGCCAGAATTATTCTTAGACATTACTTGTTGATTACGTGCTCTGATACAACCCCAAACTTAACTATCTCCAGTCTATTCTTTTTTCATATGATAGATAACATTTTCTCATTTACTGTTTTCTCTACATTCGTTGGATTTTTGGAAGTCAGATTTACATCCCCTCCCATATATTCTTGTGAGTTCTATATATCCTATGATTAGAACATTTTAACCCCCTCAATCTTCTCTAGTGAAGCGTAAAAACACACTAAAAATAAGATGGTGATTTGCATTCAAAAAATAAATTTAAGAATAACAACCACCTAGGATGCCAAAATTATCAATAAAATTCTTTCTACATCCATCACATGTAGTTGAATGACCCATACCATACAAATTTTAAGCATGGCCCACATTTAATCATGAAAATATTCAAACACAATCCCCCTCCATATTAACCATAATTACCACCAATAGCCTCCAACCCCTCAACCAATGAAAACGCTCCTTTTTCTCGAATTTACCCAAAAAGTCAAAAGTTTCGTCCGATGCGCTAGACCACCCCGTGACAGCCCAGTCTCCTTAGAGTACACGCTAACACTCCACACAAACACAGGCGGCGCGTCGAAGCACCGCCGGCGAGTCCGCCGCTCTACTCCACTCTCCGGTGGCGCAGTCATATACCAATACCAGTCCTTCCTTTAATCCCCTCTCGCTCCGCCCACTCCTCCTTAATAAGTCATCTATGCAACCCACTACTTGTATAAGCACCAACGTGTTCTCCACCCCGACGCAGCTGAACCCCACCGTGCTATCCAGCCTCACCTGCGCTGGCAGCGGAGGAGGCTTAATCCTCCGCCACTCCCCAAACTCGCCGGATTTTCTGGACCCGTTGAATTTCCAGAACGAAAGCTCCACTGCATGGCTTGATAGAATGTATAAATGCCCATTTGCTGCGCAGGCCGCCACCACACAGCCACCACCGGGAACTGCTCTGCTCCTTAGCCATCCACGCGCCTCCACGTCGTATAAATCCATTGAGCTGGCGTACACATGGGCCGCCTCGTTCCCCGCCACGCCAATCTTTAACCCTCCAATTACATAAAACACACCATCAATGGCGGCTCCAATGCACCCGTATCTCCTCCTCGGTGCATGGGACACCACGCGCCACTCATTCTCATCCGGGTCGTATTCCTCCACCGCTTCCGACCGGGCTGAGCCACAAGCAACGTAGATTTTCCCTGCCACCTCCGCAGCAGCAAACTTCTTCCTCGGAAAACCCATCCCTGCCTTGGGGACCAAAGTGCCAGTCCACGTGTCACACCGAAGCATCGCCGTCCGGCCAATTATGTATATTTTCCGGCCAATTGAGACCAATCTGTAATGTGAAAACAAAGAGAAAACTGATCCACTTTCCAAATGTAAAGAAGAACTGGAAGGGATAAAGGTGGATACTTTCCAAGTGGGTAATTCAAACTGGTGGCTCATGCGGAGGCTGGCGGCGAAAAGGGCTGACCGGGAAATGTAAATGGAGAAGATAGTATTGAATAACAGATTGCGGTGGTGGCGCAAGTGGTGGAAGGAGGGGGAATTGATGAGGTGAGCCCAACGGCGACAAACGAAAGGGAGGGAAAGGAGGGAAGATTGATCAACTCTAGAGAGACATTCTAAGATAAGGTCATCTGGGAGAGCAGATATAGTGGCGACGGCGGCGGCGGCGGAGATGGGGGAGGGTTGGTGGTGGTTTTGTTGGTTGGGGAAACAAGATTTCATGAGCCATGAGAAGTGTCGAGAGTTGCAGGTGTTGGTGTCTGATGACATGGGGGAATTGATATGGATTTTTGAAGATTAGTGAGGGGGCCTTGAGCCATTATCAGCTAGGCCACCAAAAACAGACAAAATGTGGCTACTTAAGGCCATGTTTGGTTAAATATAAAAAGTGAATAGAAGTAATTACTTTTGGAAAAATTGCAGTTGAGATACCAAACCTTTCGTTTATTAGCAGACTTTGCCAAAATCTTTAGTTTGTGCCACCGGAGGTACCAAACTTCTAAAAAATACGCACGATCAGTCCAAAATGAAGATTTCCGTTTGTTTGACCACCAAAACCGTCAATTGACCCCAAAAATTAAAAATTTAATTATTTCCCCAAAATAAGGTAATGGTAAAATTGTAACTTTATAATTTTAATATAAAAAGGAAAAAAGTACCATCTCCTTCAATCTTTCCCAATCCATTCACTCCCAAAATCAAAACCACCATTGCTGTTGTTGGCATCGCTACTTTCTTTCTTCTGTTGAGAGGAAAATAGGCCAAAAACACCAGATTTGGATGAGCCTCGAAGTGAACAAATCGGAACATTCAGAACTGGAGTAAGACGAACATTAGCTGAATAAGAGCTCTCCATTCCTCGGTGTTTATATCTGGGGCCACCGTTGAAACTGCTGGGACTACTAGAACTTCTCTCCAAGTTATTAAACACGACTTTACCAGAGGAATTCATGCGAGGACTATCTGCAGAAACTCCACACGCTTGTGCAGTAGACTCCAGTGTTCTTTGCATTTGGCTACGCACCACTCGAGTCGTCGTATTTGGATTCTCTGGAAATAATGCCCTAGGTTTAACAACTCAGACTCGGGAAACAGTGCTAAGAGTACTCGGCTCGTCGAAATCGAGAGAGTCTTGGGAAATCATCGTGCTCACGTCCTGAAGAAGAAGACGAAAGCAAAAGCCAGGAGGAAATTGAGATCGACTCATTGAGGTGGTGGTGTCGGAGATGGCTTCGACGACTGGGTGGACTGTGGAAGCTGTTTTGTTTTTGGGTGAGCGGGTTGAGGAAGAAGGAGATAGGGTGGGTGGTTTTTGGTTTTGCTTTTTGCTTTTCTAATTTTTAATTTAATAGGGGAAATATGTCAAGAATGCCCTTGCCTTATTTTGGAGAAATAATTAGATTTTTAATTTTTGGGGTCAACTGACGATTTTTCTGGTCAAATAGACGGAAACCGTCATTTTTGACTGACCCTATGCATTTTTTAAAGATTTGATACCTCCAATGGCACAAACTAAGGGTTTGGGCAAAATCTGTTAATAAATAAAAGATTTGATACCTTGACTGCAATTTTTCCTTACTTTTAAATGAAGTTGCTTACACCCCAGGCATTATTAATATTTCTCCAAAATAGCATATTGATACATAGGCCCTCAGGTTGCACCGTGAAGACTCTTGCTGATGATAAATGGGTCGTGTCACAACTATAACACAAACATGTCGTCGTACAGCAATTTAAACAAAAAATTAATTTATTGTTTGAGTTAGCACTTTTAAATCGATGAAATCAAGATAGGTTCACACCCCCCTATAAGTCGGTCAGGTTGTCAAATTTTTAGGTGGATTTCTGGTAATAGATTTTTTTTTTATATAAGAGTATCTCTAAAAGACGTTCTATTTTTAAATAATATATTCTATTATTTGGACAATATTTAAAAATTTAGAGAGTTAAAATTTGAGGTATTCCAACAAACATTTTATATTTAGCACTTAATTTTTCTACTACGAAAAAATATTATTTATCTTTCTCTATCTTTTAGTTTAACAAGTTTTTCTTTAAATTATTTTATTATTTCCATACATTAAAAATTGAAACATTTTAAATGTATTTAATTATTGAGAGTAAGTTTGACTCTCCAAATTTAGAAAGTCAAACCAATTCTCTAAATTAAAATGTTAATTTAAATATCCTCTTAAAGCATGATTTTAAAAGTCGACTCTTAAAATAAATAGTATATCATGTTTAAAGAAGAGTTTCTTGAAGATGTTCTAATCGGCTGGACTTGAACCTGATTTCCTATTTTACCAGTTGTTTCCATCGGATTGGGTCGATTTTGATAACATTGATCGCAACATTGCGGAGGCTATAGCAAGGAATAGAGATAAGCACAACAAATGGTTTTAGAGGATGACTCTTTCTCTCTCGGAGTGATGGTTGTCCTTCAGCAAGATGCTTTTAAGCAACTCAAAATGGAAAAATATGATGGCTCATACAGAGTAATGGGTATTCATTGACCTAATGAGGTGGCATGCATTTCAAATGCTATCGTGTGTAGGGCTAGGGCATCTCCACCTACCATCAAACACAAGGCAAGGAGTTTTTGGAAAATAAGGCGATTGCAAGGCAAGGAGCAACTATAAAAAGTAAGGGAAAAAGCTTTAAAACAAATAAGGTGAGGAGCCTTAGCGATTTATAAGGCGGAAAGCTTCAATAAAGATATGGTGAAGAACCTTGATAAACAATCCCTTAGGGTGAAACCATTTAATCGAACACGTACACCTCAAATGTTAATAACAATACAAGAAGCTTTAATGGGAAACCTAATAGGATTCTAAGTATTACCTGTTTAATTAAGTACTGAATCTCGTGAAAAGAAAATATAATGAAGCCTCAACAATGAACACATTAACAAGAGAAAGTCTTAGGCTTTTAGCCATATCGACTAAGGAAGACTCGATCGATCTAGCACATGTATGGCATTAGCCTACTTGGATAATTCTAGAAATGAAACTCGATCGACTTACCGAGTGGACACACAGTAGATCAATGGGATGGATAGCCTTAGCTAGATTATTGAAGGCAAAAAAGTAGACTTTCACACTAATTTGGCTAAAAAAAATAAAAATAAAAAAGCAACTTAGTTGACAATAGAGTGGAAACTGGTTGTTTAATCGGATAAATATCCTAAACCAAATTGTTAAGGCACCCAACATAATCAGAATTGAAGTTAATAAGCTTATTATTGCTAGGGGCTCAACCCCGTTCTTGTTTAAGTGCAACTTCGATCAACCAAGAAAGAATAATTGTCACTCGTTCAATCAATGGAGTGCATAAAATCATTAGGTAGATTGACCTAGTTGGTTAAAAATTATTAGTCCAAGCCAAAAATGACTATAACGAAGAACCACTAGGTCGATCAACCCATTAGGTTGAAAAGTGATAGACTAATTAAAAATGGTCGAAGCAAACAACCACTAGGTTGATTGGGCCTAGTGGGTTGAAAATTGACAATCTAATTCAAAATAGGCAAAAATAATACCCCTTAGCCAAAATTGGCCAAAGCAACTACCATTTAACTCAATTTGACAAATACAATAGTCACTTGATCAATCAACTAAGTGTCACCCAACGAGTCTTGACCAAAATTGGCCAATGCAATTGTCACTCTAGCATTATTGAAGCCATGAAAGATTCGGATAAGACCATAAGTTGAATCAATATAACATAGAGCCTTTTGGGTTCGACAAATGTGCATGAACTAAAATACAAATGCAAAATGATTCTACCAATATAAACTTGTGCAAATTTATAAGATTTCCACATTGAGAAAATGGCATCGTTGTCCAACAATAAAATCGCTAAGGAGTAAGAGGTTTGTGATACATTTCAACCGAAAAAACTAATGAAATATTAAATATCATTGAAAAATAAAAAGCCAACAAATCTTTTACAAATAACGAGGCAATAAGCCTTGAAAAAATTTCATAATTAAGAGGTTAAGTATCACTTATTTCAAAACTAAGAACAAAGATTTCAAATTTTAAAAATCAGATATTAGTTAAGGTTTATTTATGATTTAATTAATTAAATATATATTTTGTTAATTAAATGTATTAAGATCACACAAACTAACGAATTAATTAGTCACATGTTATTTTACAGTTGCAAATCAAAAATTTTATATGTCGTAAATTATTTCAAGGCCACACATAAAAAATTTCATTGGTCCCAAATTAAAATATTTATACACCACAATTTTTTTATTAGTCACAGATCACAAATGTTATGAGTTATAACTTATTAGATAGTCACAAATTATCAAATTATTGATTACAAATCAACAATTTTTTAAGTCACACATTATTTTTTGTCACAATTTATATTTTTTATTAGTCATATATTGTTTATTGGTTACATATTAACCATTTTAATGATCTGATCAACCAAATAACTTGTGACCACCACCAACACTTGTAACCACCACATCACCACTGCCTCCAACGACACAACCATCCTCGCCGTTAGAATCGTAGGCGGCGTCTCAAACAAATCAACACATCACAAGAAAATACCACCACATCCTACCACCTTACCAGACCCATCTCCACCACCATCTCATCATCACCATCACCGCTGTTGCACAAAAAGCAACTTAGTTGACAACAGAGTGGAAACTGGTTGTTTAATCGGATAAATATCCTAAACCAAATTGTTAAGGCACCCAACATAATCAGAATTGAAGTTAATAAGCTTATTATTGCTAGGGGCTCAACCCCGTTCTTGTTTAAGTGCAACTTCGATCAACCAAGAAAGAATAATTGTCACTCGTTCAATCAATGGAGTGCATAAAATCATTAGGTAGATTGACCTAGTTGGTTAAAAATTATTAGTCCAAGCCAAAAATGACTATAACGAAGAACCACTAGGTCGATCAACCCATTAGGTTGAAAAGTGATAGACTAATTAAAAATGGTCGAAGCAAACAACCACTAGGTTGATTGGGCCTAGTGGGTTGAAAATTGACAATCTAATTCAAAATAGGCAAAAATAATACCCCTTAGCCAAAATTGGCCAAAGCAACTACCATTTAACTCAATTTGACAAATACAATAGTCACTTGATCAATCAACTAAGTGTCACCCAACGAGTCTTGACCAAAATTGGCCAATGCAATTGTCACTCTAGCATTATTGAACCCATGAAAGATTCGGATAAGACCATAAGTTGAATCAATATAACATAGAGCCTTTTGGGTTCGACAAATGTGCATGAACTAAAATACAAATGCAAAATGATTCTACCAATATAAACTTGTGCAAATTTAT